CCAGTGACCAGACCCCCCTCCCCCAGTGCGCAGCCCTCTCACACACACACGTGTGAAATAAGCAGGCTAATGACATTGAAAGTTGCTACTTAAGAATTGCCATCATTAGATGTAGCCAACTGGGAATCCAAAAGGGTTGCAAATCCTTGTCTTGGATTTTCAAATCGATCATGCAGGAAATGTGTAGTGTTATTTTAAAGTTAAAACATCATATTACCAACAAGTTGAAAGAAATTATCAGCTAGTTTTAAGTCGAAACGTGAGAAAGTGCAAAAATTGGTTCATTTGTCAAGGTATCAGAAGCTAGCTACTAGTAGCTACCATGTTTCAAATTTAATTCAATGTCAGGAACACACACACACAAACACACACACACACACACACACACACACACACACACACACACGCACGCACGCACGCACGCACGCACGCACACACACACACACACAGTTTTATATTGAAAATGTTAACTGAAGTAATAAACAAGTATTGTGAAAATCCTTAATATAGGCACTAAGGCCTGACGCTAACAATATATAAACAAGTAAGTATTACCATGTTTCAAATTTAATTCTATGTCAGGAACACACACACACAAACACACACACACACACACACACACACACACACACACACACACACGCACGCACGCACGCACGCACGCACGCACACACACACACACAAAGTTTTATCTTGAAAATGTTAACTGAAGTATTAAACAAGTATTGTGAAAATCCTTAATATAGGCCCTAAGGCATGACGCTAACAATATTTAAACAAGTAGGTAAAGGTTCCATATTAGTCGTACCTGACGAGAGCCTTATTAAGATGCAGCGAGTGATTTTCTGAACTCTTGCGAGACATTTTCACTCTAAGTCGATGAGACAATGTATATTAACAGCGAGCAGAGTTCATTTTTTTTTTTTTAAGTTGGGGATTACTCTTTGAAAGAGACGGTATTTCCATTAACAAGTAAGAATTCTTGCTCCAGTGCGATCATCTTACCTAAAAACGACTCCTTGGTTTACCAATGTCAGGTTACAGGCCAACAACATTTGGTATCAGATGAACAAATTGGACTGGCGATTGCGTGGTTTAATTGGCTGAGCTCAGACCCACCTGTTCCATGATGCCACGTTCTTTTATGAACTCATGGATCCCTTGCGGTCTCTGGTATCCAATTGGGCTCAAGGGCGTCTAATTAAGCCCACTTACATCTCATGCACATTTCCTTCTAGTTGGTTCTGGAACACCCACACGTTACAAAATATAAGGGGAAGTGCTCAACGAACGGGCATCCGTATTTTCACCAAAACATTTTCACTTGATGCATTTATCCATAATAAACCCTCCCATTTTTTCCCCCTGTTCTGCTCCCTCATATGCCAATCCCACTCCCCTCTTCAACTCCTTTTTTTTAAGGGGGGGGGGGTAAAGCAACTACAACTCTGTTATATTAGTTTGAAGTCGAAAGTCAAGCAAACATTTAGTTCGACCGGTGTTGATCACGATAATGGCTGCTGCTTTTCCATGCGGTCACAACATTTCCTCCAACAATTTCAAGGTACGAATTTTTTAAATTAAATCTTTTTCGATGATTTATTTATTTTATTGCATTGAGTTATTGTTTTTTTTCGCTCATAAGTGTCTCTACTTTTTTCTATATCAGGGGTTCTCAAATTGTTCATTTGCTGACCGGCAGATATAGGCCTATTCTTACGGTGCCTAACTAATTTCTAATCTTCTTAAACTTTACAACGTTTAAGGATGTGCGACTGAAGACAACTGAATTGGTTGAATGGCACGGTCCAAACATCACCACTTTTACTTTTACTTTTAGGAGCACTCTTCTAACGGATATTTCGATTTACTTAAATATTGAGTTATTTTTATTTTAAATAAAAAAAATATTGTGTTCTAAATAGTCTATTTAAAAGAGCAACATGAAAATGCTCAGCAAATGAAAATGCTCAGCAAATGAAAATATTATTATAAATAAAGGTTTTACTGTAAATTTATAAAATTGAAATCGTTTAATTCTAATTTAATTGTAAAAGAAAAACTTGGTTGGTTCCGTGTTTTGTTTTTAATGCACTAAATATAGTTAGTTGGTATGGTTGGGAAACGCTGGTTGACTAAGACTATAAGACGCCACAGATTATGGAGGAACAAAATTAGTCACTCTCTGCAAACCTACTAAATATTTCCCCATGTTCGGTCTATGCAAGTCTCAGATCTCGTCAAAGTTATAGGTGGGACCTGATATAAATTGGATCACTCGGGTTTCGTAGACGGAAAATTGTACCAAAGAAATTTATTCATAGGAAGGGGCCGCCCATAAAGTACGTCACGCTATTTTTGACCTTTTTTCCCCCCCCCCCCCCCCTGTCCCAAACTGTCAAAAACCTCGGCCCCCCCCCCCCCCCCTCTAAAGTACGTCGCACTTTCGAATTTTTTTTTGTTTAATTAACACCTAATTAAAATTTAATCTAAAACACACTTCACTATTAAACTGTATTAAAATATAAAATTTCCCCTTAATTTCCACTATCACATTATTAAAATGAATTTAATAGTAGAATAGTTAATTGTCAACAGTTGTCATAGTTATTCATTGAAGCAGTAACTCAATCTAGATTGAATTTGAAAACAAAAATTGCAAAAAATAGACTAGGCAATTATATCATACTCATACACATCATTTTTTAGATAATCTTCCGATTATGCAATCTTTTTACACAGGTTAACAAGTATATTAGAGAAACTTGACCTCACCAAATGATTAAATAATAAAAAAGGACTTGACATAATTATGCAGCGGACAACATAGAAATAATACTACTTCAGGAAAGATGAAAGCAAGGCTATACATAAAATTAGGCTTCGCAACAGCATACAAGCGCTCCTAGCGAGAGGAATCGTGAACAAGACATTCAGGAGATACGCATTTCCATGCTATTTTGACATAAAACTAATTCAAATGATACACAAAATTTTAGAAAATTATTTTTAAAGCTATTAAATTCCACTAAAAAAATAAAAATAAATTAAAAATAACTTTAAAAAAAATAAATGTGTGACGACACACATGGCCTGTCACAAACTGTCACACATTCTTACACCCCC